TGCGCAATTACCGCCGGGTTAAATTGCTCGTTTTAAAATACATATATACATGTATTTTACATATATATGTGCGTATGTGTATGTATGTATTTTAAAACGAGCAATTTAACCCGGCGGTAATTGTGCAGTCACACAGTTTAGGGCTTTGTACAATATGTAATTTTAAGAATGTCAATGTGGTTCTTAGCGAATTTTATAAACACTTTTCTGAATCTGTTATCAGCACTTGCCATCCTAAGAGAAACTGCACATTTTTCAGTGATTGTTCCACGGGTTACGTTTTTGTCTGCCATTTGTTCTGGATTGATGTAATCTTGATACTACTAAAATTTCAAGGGCTGTTGACGCATTTCACATAGCCTAGGATTGCCTGTTCTCCAAATATATGGATCATGCATCAACAGTACTAAGTAGCCTTACTGTTTTGCCTAAAAGCCTAGCTAATTTATTTAATATTCTCTCTTTAAAGAGAGGTCTCTGGAATGGGTAGCGTATTTTGGGATGCTCCTTCTCTTTAAAGGGAAACTCAGAATTGAATAGCAGTACTTGTTGATCAGTGATATTATTGTAGCCAAAGGATGCATGGGTGGTTTAATAGGAAGTTTTTGCTTCAAGTTTCTTGATGAAATGTAGTGTTCTACAGAGCTGTGTGAAGAGTGTAGTTTTTTATTCTGAAATGCACTTGTACACTTTATTTGAAAGGTCTGAATGGATCATAAATACATTTAAGAAATAAATGATACGTCACATGTTTTCACGTCTTGTCTCGGATGACTTTTATGTAACTGTGCTGATAAAGGTGTGTTTGTTTGGGAGTGGGTGGGGTTTTTTCTTCATATCTTGATTGCTCTAAATAGTCTGGCTTGTACGTAATTGCCAAGAGCAGGAAAACCTTCCAGCATGCGTTTTGTGTTTATGCTTTATCCATACATGATGCAGGGCACTGTAGGCAAACTCCTCTCTATAATTTTCCTGTGGGAAACTTGAGCCCTAAAAGGAAACGAACACAGCAAAAGGGCTGGATATCACAAGGGATTCACTTTTATTTTTAGAATTGAACTATATTGCCATATTTGGACTGAAAGTATGCTGTATCAATGCACTATTGTATCAAATTGCAGCTGTTTAACTATTCCGAATTTGTCTAAATTATTCAGGTTTCTTTCCAGAAATACTATTTATTTATGAATCTTCTTGGTGAGCGCTAAGACCAGGTAACACATTCTGCGGGGAGCATTTCTTGTGAGAAGTTAACAAGTACCTTGTGTTGAAAGTAGATTTTGTGATATTTCTCTAAGGTCTCAGTAACAGGTGTAATTCTTCTTCCTGGAAACTTCTCACAGTGGTTTGGTCGAAGACAAACGCAGGAAATGCACTCTGTGTAAAAGTCAGTGTAAATATTGCTTACTAAAAGTTTAACTTGGGAATGCCGTCAACCTGCAAAATAGACCTGATGACACAGTATCCTATTGACATTGAAAATACCGAAAGACCTTTTAATATTTTTGGGTGTACTTAAAATGTACAGACCTGCTCAAAATAACTTATCCCCATCGTGTAATATTACCCTTGTTGTATTTTGAATCATTCTGGGGGTGGGGGTTGGGGGAATCTAAAGGTTGGACCTCACCATTTTTCCATTTTCATGTTGTTTTTGAAGTCAGCCTGTGCCTAGGTAAAGGCTTTATGTTTTATGACCCCATCGGATTTCTCCAGTAGCCTGGTGAGACAGGAGTTGATCTTTGGGTGGCAAGCCATTTCCAGCAGGCAGCTTCCTCTGCTTCTTTGGAGATTTCTTATTTCAGTTTTTTCATCACAGATCTTGTCCCTTCAGCAAGTCTTTGCTGCTGCTTCATCCTCTTGGGTTTATATAGGGGATTAGGAGGAATAAACCTGAGCTGCTGAAAACTGCAAGTAGATCAGCCCCATGAAGAGGTACTAGGAACTCCAGCTCTTCCATGTCTTTTGATTGTGGCTTAAGCTACAGAAAAAGCTTCTAAAGTAACGCAGTCTCAGTCTGAAGACATTGATAGAGGTTGAAACTGCATGATATGGTTTGTGGATCTTGGGACGGTCCCCGGAAGATCATGAAAATACAAGGAAAAATGTCTTTTAAGTGTGTCCAGTTCAGGAGGTGGGAACCAATACGCTTTTATATACAGGCTGATACAACAGATGAGCTTTTATCTGCTGGGCTGCATCCTGGTTTCCACAATTAGTCATGTAATTTCTTTTTAAATCAACTGGAGATGAAGGTTTCAGTAGAACTCCACTAATATTTTAAAGTGCATGAAAGAGGGGGAGGAAGGGTATGTTCTTTGAGCATCCGCATTTTCCTGCTTTCCTTCGGAGCAGTGAACTGTTGTGAGAATTTTAATCTTCACTACACTTGCCTCAGTTCTCATGGTTGTTTTCCATTCTGTTTTCTTTATTACTTTCTTTTTCTTCCTGTCATTCTTAGCTTTCTATTTTTCAGTCCCAGTTAGTGAAGGGTGTGGGTTCAGAAGGGTTTCCTTCAGTTCCCAGTCCCCTGAAAGCATGAGAAATTGCCCATTGAGCCAATTCTCACAGCAAGGTATAAAAATAGGAGTAAAGAAAAGGTTACACAATGCTTGGATTGCAGCAGTTTGTACTAATGGGGAGATTTCAAAGCCATGGCTTGAAAAACATTTTTTAAACCTTATCATTTCCTTTAATTTTCCTCTCCCCAAGCTATGTTTCAGCTGCAGGAACTAGCGTTACAGATTACTTGAAGAATTGTACTGAAACATAGGAGTCAAGTGCTGAACAAGTCACGCAAAGCCAGAGAGAGACCACTAATTAGTCCTCTTTAGCCATAATGAGTGATTTGTTTGAGAAGCCTATCCTCAGAGTTTCCAACCAGATGCTTTGGTCTCTGCTATTAAATAAGTGGATTAAAAGGCAAGTGGGTTTAAGGGTATTTTGCTATTGCAGCAGAACACAGGTAACACTCAGGAAAAACCCACTTGTTTGGTACCACAAATTGCTATTAGTGAACAGTACCTGTGCTCTTGCAAAGCAGCGTACTCTACTGTAATTCAATCTTGCAAACTTTTAAGAAACTGAAAGTTAGCACTAAGACTGTATTCACATGCTTTAAAGTTTTCAGGTTGTTTCTGAGCATTGTCTTTCTCTACTTGCAAAACTAGCTGAAGCTAACAGCCAGCCATTCTCTTACTTGTCTTTGTTGACTTCAAAGGCTTATATTTATACAGAATTTATTTAGCATTGGATTGGGTTTGTTTCCGATTTCCTTATAATGAGATGGACCTCTTTGGCATGTTAATTATTATCAAATTGAAATGCTGAACAGTACTTTATTGATATAATTTCCAAAACAATCCGGTAACTTTGATTCTAATAGCAGTGTAATGCTTTCCTAATGAAATGTCTGTATTAAGCCACAGAGAGGAGCATTAACTTTGGATTAAAATCAGAAGAGAAAATCAAGCACACTGTGGTAATTTTGTTCTATTTTGCAAAATTGTTTTGTGAAGAAAAAGATCAACTAAAAGCTGTATTTAATGATCTTTACACTGATTACATCGTGTACTTTTTTACTAACGATTTTACATCTCACCCTTTTTCCATTTGTCTAACAGAAACGTGGGTTATTTAGATACAGTAAAACTTTTTTTAAAATAAAACACCTCTTCTGTTTTGCTTCCGCAGAGCATCTTGTATGTTCGCAGTGTTAACCTGGGCAGTGTTACATGGTAATCTCTCACGTGAAGAAGACTGGCTTTTTTATTTGTGTGTTCAGTCGTTGGGAGGGAAGCCGCCTAGCAAGGGAACCTTTGGCTCTTTCATTAGCAATCGTTGCCTAATGATTATTGCGGCACCTCTTCAGATGATTCCCGCTACCAAGGAACTCTTGCTCCGATTAGCTGCCTAGGAAAGTCATCTTCTAAACAGTAGAAAGAGGGGAGAAATTGTAGGCAAAAAGAAATACCTACAGACAAACAGAGGGCTTTTGTTTCTGTTTTATTTTGGCAGTCTGGGTAGTAGCAATGGTTATAGCAATCAGCTAGATAACAGCTGGTTCATGACTGCCTCAAAAGGTACAAGACATTATTATGGTGAAATGCATCCATACAGAATCTGAAATCTCATTAATCAGAAATCACAAAATATGGCATAAAATTGTAGAAATAGTTCTGAAATTGTAGAGGTCAGTTCAGATTTTTTAATTCAGTATGGTGAGCACAATTTCAGATTCAAAAGGCACACTAAAATTGCTTATTACATGCTGGGTAAATTAAGCGTGTTAAAGAGAGCTTGAGTGAGTGGTTTCTGTTGTATGCTACTCACAGAATAACTTAGGTTGGAAGGGACTTCTGAGGTCATCTAGTCCAACCCTCTGCTCAAAGCAAGTCATACCAGATGAGGTTGCTCACAGCCCTGTTGAGTTGAGCCTTGAACACCTGTGATGATGGAGACCTTACAGCCTCTCTCAGCAACCCGTTTCCATCCACACAGAAGAAGCTGCTTAGTCTTCCAGTTCGCATAAATGTTCCTTGTAAAGTAAAGGTTTTGGGAACTGCGTCAAATCTTTTGACAGCTATTTTCTGTGTGCTTGGTTAGTAATTTTTTCATTTGTGTCACTGTTTGTGTGTGGTTTTAAAATATCTATTTCTTATTGTTGTTTTCTGTATTAAAGGAGGACTTATGATGTGTATGAACTATCTCCATGGGCTTCCTAAATAAGCAAAATACTTCATTTTCTAATGGGGGAGGGTAGTTTTTTATGTTTTCAAATTTCCTTGCCGTGCTATGAGCTCTGGCTTAAATGACTACACTAGAAATAGTTTCAAACTGAACTGAATGAGATGGATGAGAACATCTCGCTCAGTCACATGTCTAATACTGGTAGAGACCCGAGAATACCTCGGTGTGGGAATGGCACCTGCTTATTGTCCTATTCGGAACATGAATCTGTTGTAGAGGGCGAATTAGGTTAAGCTGGACATTGTTCACAAATGCTTACGGTTTCTCATGATGTGCCTGATACAAACCTCTTCCTTCCACGTTCTGGAAACCATTTTTCAGGATACTTCTCCAAGGTAGGACTAGGATTCCTTCTAAGCCATCCTCAGCAACACTGACAATTCCTAATAGGGTGGGCTATTTGAGGCCAGTATTGCCAACTAACTTCATGGAGATCGTTTGGTGTTTAAATCACTCAGATAAAAGTTGGGAGGAAGAGGCGCTAAGTTTCCCTTTTACTGTTTACTGTATTTAGTAGTTCTATTTTGTCAAATTCCTTTCACCTCTACCAGGAGTTTCACTGCCTTTTGTGTAGGACTCAGCCTTGATGCAGATTTGCTTGGTGTTTCTTCCAATTGGTCTTTTCAGCCCATTGTTCACATTTACTGGCTTTCTTAATTGTGTGCTATTTGTTATTGTGCAGCTTTCCAAATGTCTAAGGCATCTGAAACCGATTGCATCGGAGCAATGTAGAGAACAAAGTTCCATCTTCCTCATGCTGAAATGCCCAGCTCATACAGGCAACTGACCCTGCATTATATTATGTTTTACTATATGATGCTGTCTGTCTTGGGCTCGTACTCAGCTTTCTACTTTTCTGTTGTCTAATTCTGTGGAGGGGATGAAGAGTGGTTTCTCTAGCTGAAACTAAGGGACAGAATTTTGGACAGCAGCATGCAGCTGCTTACAATTGACTGTTACTCTCCGCAGTTGTGAGATAAAAGAAAATGTGACTGGGCAGTATTTGCGTTCAGAAGTTTCCAAGGGACGGCTGCTGTCTGCATTGCAATGTCCTGGAACACTTTTATGTGTGTGCTTTTTCTGCCACTCGCTGACCTTTCCCAGATGTGCTTAGGTAACCAAATCTATCAAGATTGAGATCTGGAGCTGCCAGCCTGCAGGCAGTCTGTTCTGGTTGAGTAGACTGTGTTTTGTTAAATTTAGAACAGCACAGAACACAATGCCAATCTCTAACTCTCAGTCCCAGCATATTGTAATTTATATTCTTTTGATGTGTTCTAATTTGCATTTTTTTTTTCCCTAATAGGAGTCTCCGCAAGACAGTGCTATCACCCGAGACATCAATCGAACGTTCCCTGCTCATGATTATTTTAAAGATACTGGGGGAGATGGCCAGGACTCCCTGTACAAAATATGCAAGGTATTCTTTAAATTCTTCTTGCCTGGTTTTGGTACCTTGTATTTCACATCATTAACAGGTGTGTTATCCAAGAAGAATGTGTGTGTATTGCAGTTAACCGTGTCACAGAGACAGACTCTGGCACTAGACTCAGTCTGGTTCTTCGTTGTAGATGTTCAGCTGGTTATAGTGCCGTTCAAATAGGAGACCTAAAGTAATAAGCCCTCCTGGGTTCCTGAACACTGAGGTGTTGTACAGAGACTTCACGTGATTCCAGACACGTCAGCCTGGATCAAGCTGGACAGACTGTATGCTGTGATGGAGATGAGGGCTAGTTGCATACTGATCAAGAGCAGCTCACCTTTGGCTGCAGCATGCTCCCTACTTGTCAATATTGTCTAGGTTCTGCTGGCAAAGTTAGGGGCACGTGCCGGAAATCACACTGATGTTGCCTCTTGAAAAAGGAATGTGCTGATGTTGGGTGTGTCCTTTATGTGTAATGTATGCCGTAAGCTGCCGTGTCATACATAGTTGTCTTTAAAACTGGAGATAACTGTGTACCTCCTGTAAATGTTATAAAGCCATGGGCATGCATTGAAGTTGCTTATTAAAAGGAAGAAATTAGCAAAAATTGACAGCTTCTTGTTGTATTCACTTATCTCAACTGGAATGTTTTAAGCTTCCAGCACTTTTTTTCGGTGTTCCTAGTGTTTCTCCCTCTTCCTACTGTCCCTGTAGCACCTGTTTAGAGGTAGAAGCACTCAGATCAGTGGTTAAATAGGCTGCAGCGGTCTTGGTGCGTCACTGTAACCTGCCCCTGCCGCTGTCTATCACAGTTTGATTTTCATACAGGTTATCCCTTCATTGGAATGGCAACCAGCGCACGCCGTGAAAATTTTATGGAGCTATGTTCAATGCCAGTGTTTTATTTCTTTGTGTTTGTAGCGCGACAGATAACGCTTTTAAGTCTCAATTCTTTTTTTAGGCCTACTCTGTCTATGATGAAGAGATTGGCTACTGTCAAGGCCAATCGTTTCTTGCTGCTGTGCTGCTTCTACATGTAAGTGGTGGTTTTCTCCCCCCGTTTGTTTTAAGCTTAAGAAGAAATATTGCTCCACTTGCCTAGAACAAACATTGATAGCTCCTGAACTAGTAGGGTTGCAGGCCACATACCCACTTAAATGTTGGTCAGTAATAACGTGATTTTGGACAGAGAAGAGCACATTGTTTAAAACTTACTGTGGTATTTGTAATGAGTCTTGTCTGCAGTCAGCGCTCATTTCCCTGTGTTTCTGTTTCAGGATCCCTTCCATTTGAAACTCTACAGGCTTGTACTCATGATCACTAGTAGGCATGGAATTTGTGTATAACACAACACTGTAAATGTTTCTGTTAAAGGGTTTCAAGGTCAGATTTAAGCTTTTTAGAATACATTTCTATTCGAATCAGTCAGAAATACAGATGGTAATTGCCATATGTCTTGTATACACAGAAGTGTATTTATGACATTGATGGGACATCAGTTTATTAGGTCTGAGTGCTTTGAACAATTGCTGCCTGTGTGGGCTATTGTACTGTAGGCCTTTGTGCTTCTTGGTTTTAGAGGTTAGTGAAGGATACAATAATATTTTAATTTTTTTTTTGAAGATACCAAATTACGCTTTTTTAAACTTAATTGTTGGTAGAAGTGATCTCATCAAAGTAATACCCTTTAAGTGCTTGCGTGCTCAGAAGCTAAAAGATTTATGGTTACTGTGTATCAGAAGCAAAAGTTTGAGGTTCACTGACGCTTGGGAAATATGAGAGGATTAGAAATCTGTACAAATTATTTATAGACCGTTCTTTTTTAAAGTAATGTCTGCTTTTTATCAGCGTTTCTATTGCAAGCATGGGTAGTTGAAACTGAACAAAGTTCGTAAGTGCAGTAGCGTTTTGAGATTTCTTTTCCCCAGCTGCTTTTTAGTGATTGTTGCCACCAGAGAGAACTAAGTACGAAGACTTCTCCGCAGTTTTCAGTGGAAGAGGAAGTCTGGTCTTCAGTGGATTATTTTCCATAATATTGTAAAGTCAGTGGAGGCTACAGAAGAGATTGTAAACTCCATTCTTTTGAAACAAAAGCCAATGATTAATGATAACAACCTTTTAGTTCTTTGTAGCTGTAATCTGAATTATTTCTTTGATGAGCAATTCATTCTTTATGACTGCACTGAATCGGATCACAAAGGGCGATACTTTCTGATAGGAGAACTGAACACTTTTAGTGAAACATATGTGCTTTCTTTTAGCTTTTTCATTGTCATATGTCCATTTTTTTAATATTGCACTAGAGAGACTCATGGTCAAGAATGGACCATACATTATTCTAGAGTTCTTTCTTTAACAATAGCTGTTGCTTCTGGGAATAATGTATGCGTTTAAAAAGGCTAAATTTCAAATAAGTTTCTTTTTATTTGATTCTCTTTGAAGTCAGCCTTTGGAGTGTGGCTGCTATGGAAAATAAATATTAAAAAGAAATGTTGCAGAAAAGGAAATTAAGTTTCTGCAAGTCCTTCACTACCAGTTTGGAATGTCTCAGCAAAGTTTTCAGTTTTAACAAACTCCATCTGCAGATTAATAATAGAATACTTGAGATGGATGGTCTGTCCTTTACAGGAACAAGTGATTGACCTCAAGTCAGACTTTACTGTGGAAATATGAAAACTGAATTTTGATATCGGGGAAAAATGCCTAAACACTGATGAGCTATGATGAGTGTTTCTTCAGTTTTTGGCAGGAAGGGGGTATTGAACTTTCCCAAACCAATGCTGAGTTGTGATATGTGGAACTTTTGTTAGCAGTTACTGGTCTCTCTTATTCATGCCATCTAATAAATAAACATCAAATGTAATAATGTCATTTAAAAAGGTAGATATACCATTAAGAATAAGGGAAAGATCCTGTTTAACATCCTCAAGTAATACTGCTTCTGTCTTAGTTATGTAGGTGGCAAGGGGTTAGGCTGTTCAAAACCTGTAGGATCCTGCTTCTGACATGATTTGGAACAAAGACACTGAGAAACTGCTTTGGTCTTGATGTCTGAAAGATGTATTTTTAGTCGGGTGATTGAGAGGTGGTTTGTTCCACAGAATAAGAATGAAATGCCGTTTGCAACACCAGACCTCATTTTGTGTGTTAATATTCTTGTTTACTTTTAAACTGGATAGGGCCAGATTAAAAAGTAGTGACAATTTGGCCTTTCTGTAAGAGGAAGGAGAAGGGAGGTGGGGGCAAATGGAACCGATATGAAAGATTTAAACGCTTTGTGATAAGTACACTTTCCTCTCTCACAGATGCCTGAGGAGCAAGCTTTCAGTGTTCTGGTCAAAATCATGTTTGATTATGGACTCAGGGAACTTTTCAAACAAAACTTTGAAGATTTGCACTGCAAGTTCTATCAGCTGGAGCGCCTCATGCAGGTAGGTGTTCAAACTTGCGTGAAGTGAATGGCTCGGAGCCTGCAATTCAAAACTAGCAATTTGTCTTATATGTGAATAGTGTTTGTGACCTCTTAGTAAGGATGAAGAGTGAGGACTATCCATATTGGAGGTTTTTTAAGAGTAGAGAAGACCAGTGTGATGGCTGGCTGCGTGCAGTAAGTTATGGTTGGACTGGATGATCTTAAAGGTCTTTTTCAACCTAAACGATTGTATGATCCTATGATTCTAAGTTTGAAGGCAGGCGTGTCTGAGCAGTTGGAGTGGCTGTCGCATGGCCTGGCATAGCAGTGACTTCTGAGCTCGCTGCAGGCACACCGCACAGTGGCCAGCACTGGCTGGGTTTCCTGTTAAGGTGAGAGCTCGGAGATTGTGCTCATTCCTTCCGAGCATCCGTGCCGGGGCGAACCTTCGGCATCCTTAGGAAGTCCTTTAGCATGTCAGGCAGCTGTCTTGTCAGGCATGGGTGGATACAGAAGCCTGCCTTGCTGCACTGATTGTCACTCTACCCTGCTTCCTTCTGTTACTTTGGGATTTCAGCTACAGTTCCAAAATAGTATAAATTAACTTTCAGTATTTATGTGGTTTTTTTTATTATTAGGAATACATTCCTGATCTGTATAACCACTTTCTGGACATTAGCCTTGAAGCGCACATGTATGCTTCCCAGTGGTTCCTTACCCTGTTCACTGCAAAATTCCCTCTCTACATGGTCTTCCATATTATTGACTTACTCTTATGTGAGGTATGTGTTATAATTGGAGACTTGTACTGCTAGCAACTTTTGACAGTTTCTCACTATCTTGATTCATGTCCTTGTTACTCTCTGTTCTTTCAGAGCTAGGCACGTGAGAATTATTTTTATGTAGAAGTGTTATGTTTCTGCAATGAAAAAGAGTTCTTGGCATTTTAAAGACACCAATTAGGAGTCAATATCTATATAAAAGATTATAATCTCCTATTTCTTAGAATACTGTTGAATCTATGTGAGATTCTGTACAGTGCCCATGGGATGAGAGTTAATTTACAAGTATGTGGATTCCTCTCTTGTTAAATTGTATTATACACAATGATAACTTATTTTTTTCCTGGAATATTATGCATGGAGGCCATTGTGTATAAAATTGCCCAGCTAACTCTCATGCTGGTAATCCAACAAGCTTAGAGCTCTTTCTCCTGGAAACTTGAAGTCTCTTTATACTTCACAGCATATATTTAGAGAGCAAAGTTATTTACATTGAGATTTTGTATGTAATCATGTTTAGAATAGTATGTTTGGTAGTAGGCTGGCAAGTAGTGTAATTTGAGTTACAGCTTATTAACATAAGTGAACAAATCACATTTTGTACTGAAGCATCCTTGAGTTATTTAATGATTTGCTTTTTCACTCACTGGTTAACATTATGCATCCATTCTTCACTGGATCTGCAGTTGTTACTGTGAAGTGGCAGTTTGTCTGCATTTCCTTAACTGCAGGGTTTCAGCATTCTTAAATCTCCTGGTCAATGTTCTTATCCTTTCTCTGTATCTTTTTGCTGCTTGCTTTGTCCATGTGCCAATGTAACAGAAAGCAACAGATGGTATCGAGAAAATCAGTTCTATTTGTTTAGAAACACATTTTCAATTCATAAATAGTAAATGTGTTCATAGTGAAGTTTTAAGGGCTTTTTTATCATTTCAAAGTAATAGTGAAAGAGTAATTTAGTGGGAAGAAGACAGACAGAATCTTGAAATAAGATGAGCAATGTGTCTTGATTATCAAAGGTACCCCTTAAGAAGGTGTATGCTACTACTGACCATAGAGACTGTATTTAATTGGGCGATATAAATAAAACACTTCTAATGAGTAGTGGCAAAATAAATGACATGGGACTCTGTCCTAAAGTGAGTCACTTTCTTTTTCATTACATGAATTATCCCAGTTTTTTAATACCAGAACTTAATATATTAATGTATATATTGCTGCATTTGAATCCAGTGTTTTTAGAAGTTGCTATATGAAAATTAAATGATCTTGAGCTGACCAACTAGTCAGTAAAAAATAAAATACCATACACAACAGTGGCTTCCTCATTTCAGAGTTTCAAACTACTATGGAGATAGTAAAACCTGTCTTGAAACATTGTTTTGCTATCTATCATGGCTATCCAGTAAAGATACTTTCCTACTTGTTTGCAAAGTCATTCTGTGGGCTTTTGGTTTAATATAGCACCTGGTTACATTTGTATCCTGGTTCTCCTTTTCACAGAAACTAGCCAAACAACAAAACCCACCAAACAAATTAATATCCAGGCTTGTAAATACTGAGAAATTAATTTATTTTGTCATTATTTTTCTCTCCAGGGAATAAGTGTTATCTTTAACGTTGCACTGGGATTATTAAAAGTGAGTATCCAACGCTACATTGTGTTTTATGCATCATCATGCACAATGTAAAAAATTAAGATGCCTGTGAGAAAAATATTATGCATTTTTTTTAAAAAGCTAACAACTTCCTGTATTACATGTGCTGTTGTCTGGCATGCCTTGTACAGCTCAGTGCTTTTGAGGGTAGGGTGGTGGGGAAATAGAAGGTTAAGAAATAGGAACAAACACTATTTGCAGAAGGTTAAAAAGTAGTTATGTTCTTGGAGCTTTACAAAACTGTTGTTGCGTTATTGTCTCTGGCAATTCAGTAATTGTACAAAATCTGCTTTGCAGTTATTGGTTTTTCTTTCCTTGTCTCTAGACTACCAAGGATGATTTGTTACTGACTGACTTTGAAGGGGCTTTAAAATTCTTCCGTGTACAGCTGCCCAAGAGATACCGTTCGGAAGAAAATGCAAAAAAGCTGATGGAATTAGCATGTAATATGAAGGTAAAGATGTGGTGAAAGCAACTGCAGGCATATCTTTAATGGGTACAATTTCTGTCTCCATGTGTAACTTTGCAACTCGCTTGTCCAAATGCAGATACATTGCAAATGCTTTACAGTGAAGCACAGTAAAGCCCCAAGATTCTCAGTGATGTGGGCCCACCTGGAGAACTGAAAAACAGAGTGGCTCTTAGAAAGCAGTATCCAGTGCTACTAAAAATCAGACTACTTAAAAAAAAAAAACCAAACAAACCAAACCTACAAAACCAACAAAAAAAATACCCCAAAACAAAACAAAAAAACAAACTAAAAATGCTTAAATGACTAATGGCACTAATATAAAATACTTGCAGACATCTCTGCAGTTCTTTGATGAAATCTTTCTCTGGTAGTAGCTGCAAACAGGGTAGTATCTTTCATCGAGAAGTAGTGGGGAGGTTTCATTTAAAACAGTAAATAATGCAGAAACAGAATGTTAGCTTTCAGACAGAATATGGCTATTTTTAATTGTGGCTGCATGTGATATTTATGTTCTGCAACAAGGAGCTCATTAAAAATGCATTGATTAATTTACAGATCTTCTAGGGAGATGAAGGAATATGATTTGGCATTTAAAATTTCTTACAAGTCAAGCTAGGGAAATGACCTTGTGGTTTATGCTTTCCCGGTGTGAGGTTTTGATTTGTCATTGTTTTGTGGTGGGGGATGTATGCCGCTTTTCTAAAAAGCATTTTGAGCTAATTTCCTGTTCAAGAATATTTCATTTGTATTCCAAGTAGCTGAGAATAACAGGTTAATCTGTTACGATCTTTGTAGTCTGAAGAGGGTCTGCTTTATATGAAATTAGCCAAAGTGCTGGCTGAGTTGTATGTTGTCTAGTGCTGCCACAGTTTGCATTATTAAAAAACTTCAGCTAAAAAGCATTGTTTTTGGTGAGCAGCCCATGTGGGAGGTTTATAGTATTGGCTGCCTTCTTGGCTTTTCCTTTGGGTACTGGAAACGAGTGCTAAGACACTCTGGTTGGAAGTAGAGCTCTGACATGTACCGTATGGTGTTTGGTGTGCAGATGTTTCTGAACATGAATCTTTTGTAAGTACCTACTGCTTTCTGCAAGGGTGTTGTGAGGCTAGCAAGCTAATCTAGACTGTCTTTTAATGTGCTCATCACAGCTGTTTGACTTCTCCCACAAATCACTGATTAACTGTTCATACAGTCAATGATTGGGAAATACTGATTATGATTAGATTTCTGACTTGTATAACAGAAACCATGTATCACAGTAAAATGTCATCTCTGATCCTTATAGGAGCCTTCTTTTGAACAGGACAAAACCACAGAAACTAGAGGTTGGTGTGGACTGCAGACTGGAGAGATGCTGTCCCATAAATGAATTAATCTCAGGAATTCCCGTTTTCTTAATAGAATTGATTCAGAGTATTCTCTGAGCTCTCCTGTATGTTTGAACTGCTGAGGTAAACAGTAGAGGGTTTTTTGCTTGATTGTGGGGTTTTTTTAGATTTCAATTGCCCAGTAAGCCCTATTTCTTAAATTATATGAAATAAAAGTTCTAGCCTTTGACCTTAAGACTTTAGTTATATGTAGCAAATATTGCATTACCTCACTGAAAGTCAATTGCTTTTCTAATCAGTAAATGTTGTAATTAAAGCTTTATATGGGTACTTTGGAATAAGCCCTCAAAGTGAAAATTCCAAAAAAAGTTACAGTTAGGAAGTTATTGATTCCTCTTTATAGATGTAACGATTGAGTTCTAAAATGGAACTTTGATAATCTACTTAGTGTATTTTAAGGAAGCTGTGATTCTTTCTTTACAGTTTAATGTAGGTTAATCTTTAGGCAAATACACTGGTATGGTTCAAAGTGTCCTTTTTCCTTAAAATTCGCTAGAAGCATTCTTTGTAGCACCAGTGTATAAATACCCAGCTTCCCTAGTATGTTAACATTCAAGGCATCTTGTACTCCTGGTGTAGTAGCAGTACATGTAACAGTATTCTGCATAGAGTTCAAGCATATCTGACATGAAACTAGTGCAGGAATTACAGAATAATCAAGAATAAAGTAAGCTATTCTAGCTCTCCAGTCGTTTAACATTAGCCACAGATTAGAAGATGTTGCACATGCATCCGATTAAGATCGTGTGTAATGAGGGCATTTGCCTTTCATGTTTCCAAATAACAACTTGTTCCTCTTCCCACTCCGCCAAAACTCCCTGTGTTCCCAGTGCTGTGTGAAGTAGTTAAAGCAAACAGTCTTCTGTGAGCAGTACATGGCAAGGTGGTCTGCTGCTTCCTTGAGTGCTGTGTGGTTTTGGGGGGATTAAATGGGAGGTGATGGAGAAAGTACAGACTGCACTACTGGGCTCTGCTTCCGAATCACATCCGTGTGTGTTGCCCCTGATGGGAGTGCTGCACACAATTCCTTTCTTTGACCTAAAATGTAAGTCCTTTGCTGTCGGTAGACATCTCCAGCTCTGTATCTGTAAGTGTTTTTGTGCAGAAAACGGCCTGATGTCAAAATAAATCATTTATAGGAAGAGAGAAGTAGCCTGGCTAAGGCATTGTGATTACAACAGCATTCTGCTGGAAAGGAGGTCAGTAAATGATCAGCTTGAGACAACGCTGGATTCTTAAAGTCACTCCTTAATGTTGCAGTCAAATGTTAGCAGAGTTACTCCTGCCTCCTGTGCCCCTGAAAAACTGTGATGGGACTTCAGTGTTCGTTTCTCGTTTCTATCGCCGTGCAAACCCAAAGGCCTTGCTGACTCCCCCAGGGCACGGTTCCCTTTAGGGCTCCAGTGTCCAGAATTGGTGACAATAGCAAATCTTCTCCGCATCACCTCATTATTGGTATCTAGAGGTAAAACTGGTTTAATGTAATCAGAAAAGTAGAAGGTGAAAGTACAGCCGTGTGCCTGCCTGCCTTTTCTCTCACATGGCTGGATGCTTCACTTCTCAAGATCTAACTTTTACATAGCTTGGGGTTTGGTGTACGAAACACCAAAATTCGGGCAGTGTGTCAGCAGGGGCAGAGCAGTGAAATAATCAACTGAAGTTACTGGCTTCACTGTCTGTAAAGGGTTAATGCTCTGCATGTTTGCCTGGAGTGCTTAGTAAGTATAACTTCTGCAGTTGTGATGTGGCTGGACTGCCTCCAGATAAATGGGCTGGCATCTCCAAAAAACTGTCAGCTGAAGTACGGCGAAATGTTTCTGTGCAGCTCTCACTAGAGGGAGCCTAGCTACCAGTTTTCTACAGGTCATTTCAAGTCAGGTTGTTAATGATAAAACCAAAGGTAAGAGAAACTGAACGTGTTTGCCATTCTGCCTGTCACTTATGCATGTAAAAATTGTTTAACATGTTTCTCAGACAAGGCTTTCTGAAGGAGGAAAACATAGCCATAGCTTTTTAATTTATTTGGTTTACTGAAATAATAATAAAGGTTCAGCA